GTGCTCGGGATTTTTGGAAGGTGGGACATGAATTAAAATATTTCAATTAGAGTGTCTTCAAGAAACTCTTTATTTTTAAAAAATATATTCGACAATTTAAAGAGCATCTATAAATTTAGATAGTAAAAATTTTTAAATATTCCAACAAACTCTTTATATTTAACACTTAATTTTACTATTCTCAAATAATATTTATTGTTTTTTTCTATTTTTAATTTTCACTAACTTTCCTCACGTTATTATATATATATTCTTCCCCCATTAAAAAATTGAAATACTTTGAATGTATTAATTATGGACTTTGGAGACACAATACACTTTTTGAATTAAAATGTTAGTTTAAAAAGTCACTTGAAATATAAATTTAAGGATTGATTCTTTAAAATAGATAACATCTTATATTAAAGAATCTCTTGGAGATATTCTTACAACGTCATCTACTTATTTTTTTATATTTTAAACACGATTGAAATATAAAAATACAAAATAAAATCAAAAATAAGATTCGAGATGGTGCCCTTGTTGGGAATTTACTTAAAATGCACAACGAAAAATAAATAATTTTTCAATCTCACCACAAATTTACTTTGTGTTTAGATAGAAACTATGTTTAAAATAATAGTTTTGATGAATTTTGCAAACTCTTTTGATGAATTCTGCAATACGAACAATCACGAACTGAAATCCACAGTTATCTAATTGTCCAGCTTCCAATGAAAACTCGCACAGGGAACAAGATTGAGAGAACCAGTGGCGGATCCAGGATACGAAGTTAGGTAGGGTGGTCACTGATGGTCTCAAATAAAATTATTTATTAATATTTAATTATATAATGTTAAAAAAATTCAATCAATATATAAATGCACTGAAACGTGAAAAAGTTGTATACATTTGAAAATATAATCCAATACAATATAAAATAATAAGGAAAAAAAGTACATTTTTCAATCATACATATATGATCAAGTTTTAAATTTTTTACGAATTCAAACGAAATAATTTATACGTAAAGAATGATTAAATAGTAAAGACAAGCTATCGAGTTTAGGCGGAAGGTATGCAAAATTTTGAAAATAATGATTTTTAAAACTAAAACTATTTTTGACCACAAAAGCAAAAGTGTTTTTCGAACTTTTAAAAAAATAACGAACAACACTTAAATTGTCCAAATTTGAATTTTTTAAAATAATTTAATAAAACCTAACAATAAAAGTTTATATATCATAGAATAATAATTTGAGTCAATAAATTTTTTAAAGAAATTATTTCAAAAACGAAAACTAATAATATGTAATTGTTTAGTTATTATTTATTATATTGAAAAATTAAATAAAAAAGTCAAAAAGTAAAGAATTGAACCACATACCTTTAGTAAACAATATGACCCCTCTACCAGACGAACTACCCTTCTTTTGTTGAACAATGGCACAATTAATTAATATTTACCTATTATTTACCTGATTAAAAATTGAAAGAGAAAATATTGTTGAAGGGATTCAAACTTGGGCATTTCATGTGGAAATGCGCCTTCACTCCCAAACAATCTACGTTTCAATAATAATCATACAATAATATATATATAATTATTTTTCATAAATCTTATTTAAATTTTTTTTCCGAGCGGATCTAGCACTGCATCCACCCCTGGAGAGAACTATGATTTTTACCTTTCTTGTACTAGTAAGAATAATTATTTTCTCTCTTACTTTTTCCAAACCCTAGTAGGCTATTAATACAAATCCAAATGAGTTTGGCCCATCATTTAACTTAATCTGGTCTACTATTTAATTAATCCAATTAATTAAATGGAAAAATTTCATAACTAATAGGTTAAGTTTCACTCATTTCAAATTTTTTAAGGTTTAGAATTTCAAATCTCGGTTTTTTTTAAATTTTATTTATAAATAAATTAATTAAACATATATTTTATTAATTAAATATATTAAGGTCACAAATTTTATATAATTGGTCATATATTATTAATTTGTTACAAATCATAAATTTTACATGTTACGAATTATTTTACGGTCATAATTCAAAAAATTTATAGGTCGCAATTTGTTCATAGATCACAAATAAAAAATTTAAACGTCACAAATTATTTTCCGATCACAATTTAAAAATTTTATATGTCACAAATTATTTTACGGTCACAAATCAGAAATTTTATAAGTCACAAATTATTTTACGGTCACAATTTAGAAATTTTATAAGTTACAATTTGTTTATCAATTGCAAATAAAAAAATTATACGACACAATTTATTTATCGGTCACAAATCACAAATATTATAAGTTACAACTTAATAGACAGTCATGAATTGTCAAATTATCGGTTACAAATTAACAATTTTTTGGGTCACAATTTATCTTTTTCATTGGTCACATTTTGTTTATTGGTCATAGATTAACCAATTGAATGGTCACAAACGACCAAATAATCTGTGACATTGGAATCGTTCTTGAAACACAAAACGATATTGATGTTTGTTCTAGTATGAAAAACACACAGTTTTACTAATTTTCATAACGACATTAAAGTCGTTATAGACCAATAAAACGACATAAAAGTTATGTTAAAAAACTTGCATACTGCGCGAAGTACCATTTTCTCTTGGGTAGTAAACAACTCAAAAGCGCACGAGTTCACCAAATTTTCTTTGGATTAACTTTTTGATCCCCAAACATTCATCCTTAATTCAACGGAGATCATTTTCTTGTGCAATTTTCAAAAAATGATGAAAAATCATAAGTATCAAACTCACGAAATGATATAACGATATCCGTATTATTTCAATACCAATTTGGCGAGATTAAAATCGATCTAGTTCATATCATAATTAAAACAACATAGATATTATTTTCTTTAATATGTAACAACATTGATATCATTATGTATCAAACCCCTGAAATAACATGACGGCGTCCATATCATTTCAGTACAATTTTGATAATATCGATATCGAATCAATTCAAATTATAACTAAAACGGCATAAATACCGTTTCCTTTCATACTTAATGACAATGATATCGTTATATATTAAATCCACGAAATAAAATAATGACATCAATATCGTTTCAGTACAAATTTGACGAGATTGAAATCGTTGCATTCAAATCATAACTCAAATGATATATGCGTCATTTCAGTTCATAAAAAACAATTTCTATATTGTTTAAGCTAAAAACAACGATATGAAGTCCACGACCACCCGACATGCATACAACATATGTAGGACGACCAAAATATGTTATCAAGTGGATTCAATATCATTCAAAAGAAGCTACGAGAATATTTATGTTTTCATAATTGTCTACCACTTTTGACTATTTCGACAGAAACAAAGTATCTCTCTTCGCTCCTTCTAAGTCATTCGAGTGGTATTAATCCACTTGATGACCTCTTTTGATCATTCTACATATATCGGAGATATTTTGGGTGATCTTGAACAGTCGAATCATTGTTTTTAGCTAAAACGATATAATTGTCGTTTTTATACGAAAAGAAACGATATATATATATATATATATATATAAATTATAACTAAAACGATATATATTTCATTTCAGTTCATATAAGACAATAACTATATCGTTTCAGCAAAAAAACGATGATTCATCCATCCATAGTCACTCGACATGCATCTGACATACGTAGGACGATCGAAATAGGTCATCAAATGAGTTTGATCTCACTAAAAAGAAACTTTGTGTTCCTATAATTGCCTTCCACCTTCGAACTATTCTGTTAGAAGGAAAGTATCTTCGTTTACACTTTCTAAACCATTCGAGTGGTATTAACTCATTTCATGACCTCTCTCGATCGTCCTACGTATGTCGGAGGCATGTTGGGTGGCCGTGCACGGTCGAATAATTATTTTTATTCAGAACGATATAATTGTCATTTTATATGAAAATAGACATATTTACGTCATTGTAGTTATGATTTGAACTGGAAAGATTTTAAATTCGTCAAATTGTACTGAAACGATACAGATAACGTTAAATTATTTTGTGAATTTGATGCATAAAGATATCACTCTCCTTACGTGTGAAAGGAAACGATATCTATGTAGTTTTATTTATGATTTAAACTGGAACAATACCAATGTCGTTAAAATAATACTGAAACGACGATGTCGTTTCGTTATTTAATGGATTTGATACATAACAATATCACTCTCGTTACGTATGAAAGAAAGTGATATAAATGTTGTTTTAGCTATGATTTGAACTAAAACAATTTCAATTACACCAAATTTGTGCTGAAATGATATGAATGTCATTATGTTGTTTCATGTGTTTGATACTAATGATTTGTCGTCATTTTTTAGAAATTGCACGAGAAAAGTTCTCCGTTGAGCGAAGATGAAAGCTTGGTCCCTTGGACTCGTGCACACAACTCTCTACGTTGTGCGCAGTGCAAGTTTTTTGGTATAACGACTTATATGTCGTTTTATTGTTCTATAACGACTTCAATGTCGTTATAAAAATTGGTAAAGTAGTGTGATTTTTGTACTGGAACAACATTGATATTTTTTTGTGTCTCAAGAATGATTTCAGTATCGTTATGTGAATCAACACAATTTTCGTATTGAAACGATATTAATATCATTTTGTGTCTTATGAACAATTTCCAAGTCATTATATAAATTAATTCATTTTTTATGTTGGAACGACATCGCCATCATATTGTGTATCAAGAGCGAAGTCTATGTCATTAACTGAAGCAATAGTTACATTTTATCATAAGGACATAAATGCCATTTTATTGGTCAGAACGATATTAGTATCCTGGACATGTATGATATTTAAATTTGAAAATTTCAAAAACTTGAAAATATGTAAATTTCAATTCAATTCAACTACCCTAGACAAATAAAACAAAGTAATTACAAAATATCATCAAATATCAAACGAATTAACAAAAACAATCTAAGGATCGAAATTCCATGCCAACAACTCTGCAGCCAATTTTTTCTGCCACATCGGTACACAATTCAAGTGAATTGCATACATCCATCTTCATTTGCAAAAAGTTTATGTATTTCAAAGTGAATATCCCGTAGTTCGATCTACAAAATCGTTGTACAATTTCGTTAATTCTCAACACTAAAATAATATAGTACCTAACAAATAAAATATTAGTCAACCTTACTCATTTCTTTGTTGAGAAACATTTTCTACCTTTACAAATTTGAACTTCTTCGTGATATACTTGTCATCACTAGTAACATGGAATTTTATCAACAAAGATATAACCTCCTGTAAGGGCAAAATCTTTGGTAGTATATAGTGTAAAATTAAGAATAAATGTTCCATTCATTATATTAACAAGTAGTCTTTTATTGTGTCACAAGAGCATTGGATTTCATTCCATGGTAATTAATACAGAGATAGAGTAGGATTATACCATATAGTGCACTTGTGAAAATCGTTCTCATACGGTATATATGAAATAAGTTCAGAAATTATCTGAATTTATGAAGTGCCAAAGAGGTCACATGAATTCGTTTTTATCATTACACTCGATTCATTGCTAGGTTTAAAAAAGATTTAGATCATTTACAACTACTTCATTTTGAGTTTTTTGCATGAAAACCATCTAAAGAAAATATAAAGCAACTATTTCTTTGACAATTACTACATTTGGAGTCAGCTATAGAATTTTATTTCGTCACCCCGTTTGATTTTCAAATGTAAAATTCACAATGATTTACCTTGATGCACTTTTGTTGAGTGCTTCGAAGTCTTACATTTGAACTCCTAGCTGCCATTACCTGTATGAACAAGGAGTTAAAAACTTGTTTCTCTTCTAGAAAGAAAGAAACATTTGAGCATAGAAATCACCTGAGGTGACTAATCCGAAGAACAAAATTCTTATAGATTGTTCAGAATCCATTTCTTCCTCGTACTGTTAGTCACATCCTAAAAGGCAACAAATATCGGAAAACAAAGGTCTTAGAAAATTGCTTTAAACATTATCGTGTATGATACATATAATGTAGTTAAACCCTTACTTATAGTATTGTCCAATCCTCTTCAATACTGTTTTGAGATCCTTAAAAATAATACTTAACCATTCAAAAAAAGGTAAGGTTTAAAGTCGTCTGCTAAATGAATCCTTCTTTGATTCTCAATTCTGTTTATAGATAACTATTGAAAGATCTAAACAAAGGCTCAATTGTGGCAGCTTCTTGTGCCCATTGATAATTACTAGATATGCTTTTATTAAATTTTAATAACTCGTTTTTATAGGCTATTCAAATGTACTAATTACAAAAATTAGCATAATTAATTCCCATATCACTATGAATTTTTAAATATAAATAAGTTACTTAAATTTATTATCATTGTATCTCACACGTCAGATCATAAATTAAAGCTAATTAGTAAATATTAAAAAAAAAAACCAGAATTTCAAATCAAAATAGAAAATTATAATTCAAATAATCAGAAAAAACTAGAAAGTAAATCGAGGCATTAAAACTTACCTATGCATGGGCAGAATCAGCAGCGATCACAGGGGCAGTAATAGTTGGGGACAGTAAAATCTATGAACTTCAGTGCCTCGATTTTCTCATAAAATTCATCAGCTTCGCATCTTCCATGATTATGAAATCTCTTTTTTTCAATAATGATAATAATAATAGAGATGAATCCAGAAATATGTAATTTTAATTATTTGATTTTGAATTTTTTGGGTATCAATGAAAAACGGGTTACAAGGTGAATAAGAATGGAGCTTTTGTTTGTTGAAGAGGGCAACAGAGCTACAGAAAATGGCTTTTCAATTTGGGGATAAATGATTTTTGACTGAATAAATCACCAATTCCTTATTCAATTTGGTTTTACAAGGGAATGGTAAAGTGGCCTTTTTACACTTTTAAATAATTAAATTTTATTTTATTTTTGATTACCTGGTTAAGGGCTCGTCGGACAAAAAAAGATTGAGGGGTGGACATTTGAACTCATTCCCAATGATAAAATGACAGTTTATATGCATATGTAATTAGTGGTAGCTGCAGAATTGATTTGTACAAATCCTAAAAGAAAATTCAAAAAAAAAAACCTTTGATTCTTGCATAAATCAAAATGAGGGTACCATGCCATATCCATTACTATCAACTATTAGACTTGTACAGAACATTTGATCAACATCTGTTCTTTTTGCAAATCGACCTTTGATCCGGGGTCGGGTTTCTGCATAGGCCTTCCTCGATGCATATCTAATTGTCTTCTCGAACTTCCTCATCTTCTTCTTCTCCCGGTACCTTAAGACTCGGGCCTCTCGGTCCATGGCAGAAAGTTGTGTTGGCATTTGGATAGGTGGACTTGAGTAAAGATCAACTGTGTCTTTTGAGGGTCTTTGCTGGGAGACTGATGAAGAAACTTCACTCAATCTTGATTCTGGTACAACTCCAACATCCATGGCTGGATAGCCATAGCCAGCATTGGAGACATCATACTCCAACCCTAATTGAAAACTGTTTAGATCAAACAGCTCTTCTTTACCCTTTGATCCATACTGAACTGGCACAACACTATCACCACTGTACATTTTTTGATCATCATCAGGAACATTGTATTGTTGCTTCTGATTGTTGTACTGATCATCAGTGAAGTGAATTTCTTGACATGAATTGTACTCATTAAGGTCTAAATAATCATCAACTTCATTGTTCCTTTCATTTTCACTATTCTTGACAGGGTTTAGCAATAACCATGAAGCTGTTTCTTCATCGTCATAGGTATCAGTATCAGCATCGGCATCGGCATCGGCATCCCCAGTTGGAGATATTATTAAAGAACTTGGGGTGGCGGCAGAGGGGCCGTGGAGTGAGCCAGGTATCGGCAAAATGGGGACGCGTTGGTGGCGGCGTGCTAGTGGGTTGGCCGAGTGGATGTCAGCATCACAGGTGGTGCAGAGGGACGCGGCATCAGCTTTGCATAAAAAGGCGGCCGGAGCACGTTCACAGGCTTCACACACCCACACGCGCTCATGCCGCGAAGCCACCCGGTTGGCAGCGTGGATGCGGGCGTCGCAGCCGGTGCACAAGTAGGCCGCGTCAGCCCGGCAGTACACCGTGCACACTGCGGATTGGCACGTGTCGCATATACGAGCCCAGTTGTTGCTGGTGTCACCATTTTTTTCCTTCAACATTTCTGTTTAATTATATTCTCTTTGCCTAATGAAAATATAAAGTGGATGATTTTTGGGCATATTAATAGAGTGAACTGAAGGGTAAGGTCAAAGGGGAGAACTAATGCTAGACGCCTGGGATTGAATGACACGTGGCAACAAGATGGTGGTTAAGAAAAGTCGTCAAAAAATTTTGTGGTTGACGGGAGTTCTGGTTAGATTTTTCTGGTGGGGTCCATATACTTTTGGCTTTTTGAGTCAATTGATGCTTGAGGATCTGAGTTGTGTGTGGCTAAGCTTAAACAAAAAGAAAATTGTGAAATTTGAACCACTATCATAATTAAAATCTTTTAGCAAAATAAGTAAAATCTTTTAGTAAAATAAGTGAAAAGAATACGATTAATCGAAAATGAACGATTTACTATTACCCGTTAGACGTCATCATGTGTTTAAGCCTCGTACTTTTGCAAGATAGAAAGTTTCAGGTGAAGTGAAGAGGAAAAAGACAAGCAACTTGTCTAAGAGGGGCAAATGAATTGATCAAAATTTACGTTTCAGAAAAATTCGAGATGTTCCCCGTTTGAAAGTAATTATTTGAAAAGTAATGTTATTTAGTACCGATCTAAGTGAAAACATGGACTTAGTTTTAGGGGCTGTCTGGAAAGAATTTTTCCCAAGATTTTGTGCCCAGACAAGGGCTTAGTTATCTAATGAAGTGAAGATGTATTTTTACCCATTCGACAAGTTTTGGTGAGCTTCAATTGCCACTTAGACAAGTGTTAGATAGCATTATCCTTATGTTAAAATTATTTTTCTTTCATATTCATTTTCAACCGCACATTCTTTTTTTTTTAAAAAAAAAAAAATCATTTTTACTATTTTTTTCATAACTTTCCTTACTTCTAAATCACACATTCTCCAAAAAAAATTACATTTTAGAAAATTACTTTCAAATCACTTTCATGCAAGTGTATGCTTTAATACCCCTATTATGACAAGTCAATTTTCTTGTGCTTCCCACTTGCATATTTAAGCTTGACAGAGTTTCGTCGTATAATGCACGTCTCTATATACATTTAGAACATTTTCAAGAAATTATCTATTTATAAAGTCGCTCATGCATAATAGAGAATATATTTAATATTAGAGAGTCATTTTTTTTTATATATAAACTCCAACAATTTAATATATTTAATATTAGAGAGTCAATAACCAATCAATTTGAATATCATTTAAATAATTTAAGAAGTTAAGTATTGAAATATGTAACTTAAATTTGCACCGTTACAAATAATAATAATAATAATAATAATAATAATAATAATAATAATAATAGAGATTGAGTTCGAGTTAGTTTTTTAAAACTTATTTTTAAGCATTGACTGCTTAAAATAGAGAACATCTTGTATTTTGAGAGTCTATTGAAGATGATATTATACATTGTATTTAATGTCTGCAAAGAAAGTAAATACTGAATGTTTATTTTTATTTCGTAATATATTCAAATCGAATCAAGTCAGGTGATGATAGGTAAAAAATGTTCCCATAAGGTATAGCAAACCCTTGGAAGAAGCATATGGTTCCCGAACACAAAACTAACATTATTTTCAATTTAATCATTTTTTCTAAAGACTTGAGCCCAGGCAAGTGCCACTATAAGCCAGACCTCAATTTCAAAATCAATTTTTTGATAACTCAAGCAATAAATAAATAATCAATCAAAATCAAATTTAAATTCATAACAAAAAGTTTAATTCTGCCAAGTGGCAATGCTTTCACCACGAAAGTTATGGATACTGCTTTTTTCGGATAATACAAGGAATGAAACTAAAGCACGTGTCAGAAGCAGATTCATTCACAGTAGGTAAGATGAATAGGATGGGTCCAGGAAATAACCTAGGCCAATGAAATGATGCCGCGTAGGATGAGATAACCACAGCCACTAATTCTTACAAGAAATGTCCAAACATTAATATTATCCAAATCACATGGGCATAGGGTCCAATGAAAAGTAATTGCATTCTTCCAAGATGAGATTTTTGATGTGCTGCTAATGCTCTTTTAATCCCCTCCATGAGTCTCAAATCAGTGATATGGACACTTTTGCATGTATTACATATTCATGTTTATCTCTTGAATGATCGAATTGAGGTCAGACATATATATATTTTTTTATTTGGTCTACTTCAAAGATCGAATAATTGGTGATAGTCAATTACATAAACTTTCTTGAAATGTACTTAAATTATACTAATTTATTCCATTGTAAAAATAACTAAGCTACGACTTTTGATTATAGGAAAATTTGAGCGTGTCTTTTCTCACGTGATTCAGAGTGAGTATCGAGGATGAGTTTATCTCATAAGGAACTTTTTGATGTAGATTTCTAAATGAATAGTGCTTGAGATGGATTACAGAGTTGGATCCCGAGCGAGAGAGGATTAATTGCCACCCTCCTACGAAATTTATGGGAAAATAGTGCTATATAACCCATCATCTCCACAATGAGACTCCACTAGCATCATAAAATTTTCATTCGCCAAACCAATAATCTATATCAAGTAAATTAAGTATTCCATCACCCTTGGCTAATAAATTAAATTTTAATAGCAACTGGTTTTAACAAAAAAAAATAACATAGTATAGTATGGATATTTTTTCATTCGACTTGTAAGCTTTCTCAAATTCTTTTAACCATTCACAATGTTAAACTCATATTGCAAGGGGACACAGTATGTCAATATGACTCGAGTGCTAGGTACACAGAGAGAACGCTGCACAGTGGAGAAGACAAGATTATAACTTCTCTTTTTCTTAATTCATGTTCAGTGCGGTCCATTCCAGCAGCATACCGAACATTCCATCACTTTAGAGAGTTTTTGTACCTGGCCTTGATGATATTGCCTTTGGCTGAACAAAAGAGTACTCAAACCATTTCCTCCAGCTCGATGCCACCATTTTCCTTTTTAACATCACATAACTACCCTGAACTTTAGCAACGGCATGAAAAAACAAAGACATGAATTCAAACCTGTAACAACAACAAACTGAGCCTTGTTCCCAACCAATTTGGGGTAAGCTCCAAGAATCCCTTTTCGCTTAGGATTCAAGCATGAGATTTGTCAGTTTTACATTTACTGTCAGCCTACCACAGCATCTCTCTTTTACCCGAGCTTGGAACTGGCTATGAAAATCACAGGAGAACGAATATAAACCTGTAACTAGGTTATATTTACTGGAATAACTCCTATCGCAATTAATAAATATAGTGTGTCCTCGCCAATCAAGCATTGCTCCTTTTTCATTGGCAGCTTGCAAAATTTCAAAGTTCATTGGTGTGTGATCATTAAAACACAAGGTTCCAAAACCCTAAGACGACATTCGTCTCAGAGGACTTGCCTGTAGTAGAAATTGTTAGTTTCTGCTTTTTTTCTCATGGTGGGATAAGTGCTCTGCTGCAGAAACAATCGGATTTCATTAAGAAAAGAAGAAAACGATGGACAGGTTGCTCTCTTTATGCACAAATTTCAAAACTAACTAAAGACTAATTACATGGCAATTTTCTGCCCCTAAATTCTACTTCCTTAATTCCCTTCGCTGGCCCGTATCAAACTAAATCATACTTCCAATTCAGCCCAATATCAAACTGCAAAATGTCCTTACTTGAAAAAAATAAATAAATAAATAAATACAAAAACAAAAGAAGTAATTCAGTACTTACTGGCATGCTATACAGAGAGAGATGGTTGATTTCTAGGCTTCCTGCAGTCCAGTAATCACATACTAGATGTACAATGGTTCTCTGTGTGCATCTCAAAAAACAAATCGGCGCCAGATAATGTGCCGCGTGCATAACCTCCCCCCTTAACTTGTATATGAGACTGCCGAGCCTTTTAGTCGCAGTCTGTTAAACCACACCCGATTGTATAAGGGTGTCAACAACTGAAACGAGACAATTACCAATGAAAACATTTGACTTGGGAAACATCAATCATTTTGTCGACAAAAGACCCAATTTTTCACCAGATGCACAAGAGCAGCAGGAGTAATAGATTGCTCGAGGCTTTATACCACCTCAAAAACAGGTTGAACTTGAGACTACAGCTTTTCGTTTTGACAACTCTTGCTTAAGATTTACAGCTTCAATTTTGGATTTGATGATAAATGGTTTTGGAAATCAAGCCTCTCTGAACAACGTGATCCCAAAACATACCTAAATTGATGGCATCATTAGCATACGAAGCATTCATACTTCTATAGATTTTGAGAGTTATCATCAGTCTCCTCTTATACATCTCATCTAACAAAGCTGAATAAGCAACAGCATCGCCAGCTCTCAAGTATGCATATGCCAAACTGGTATAGATAACAGCATCTCCTAATATTCCCCTCGACTGCATAATGCTAAATACTTTTTGAGCACAATCAATTTTTTCTCTCTTGCACAAAACACGTATTATAGCCCGGTACACAGAGATGTCAACACAGAGGCCCCTTTGAACAAACTCCTCTGGCAATTTTAAGAGTGCTTCATCATCATTTTGTTTGCAGTACAGCTCCACAAACCAAGCATATATGCAATAACTTGGAGAGAATCCCGCATCAAGCATATCAAATAACATATCTTTAGCACTGTTTATCTCTTGTGCCTTGCAGAACCCATGAATTAATGCCTTGTAAGTGAACTGATCCAGTCGTAATCCAGCCTCCAACATCTTACTTTTAACTTTCAAACCAGACCTCATATCTCCAATCTTGCAATAAGAATTAATTAACGTATTACATGTAACATTATCAGGTTCAATTTTCTTCTCACTCATTTCATGTAATAGTCGATTTGCATCCTTTATCCGGCCTTCTTCACATAACTTCCGTAGAATTGCATTGTAGGTAACGACCCCTGGGTACAACCCCTTCACCTCCATTACATCCCGCAAGCGTAAAGCTTCGTCGAGATCATTCACTCTGCAATAACCATCAATCAAAGTAGTATACGTCACTTGGTTAGGAGTAGCACCTTT